CTTTTTCTGTGTAATACTTGAAGAGTATGCTCTATTGTCACAAGAAATGTTTCTAATTTTGGCATATTAAATCGTGCCTAATAAATAAATCATAATTTACATGGAAATTAGTTTATAAATTGGTTCACTGATTATTTGACCTAAGATAATTTTTCTCGAAAGGAGAATATTGCTAATTTTATGCAGAAATGTTAAAAGTATCTTTGACAGTGACGAGTGGTAAGTGTGGGTTACCCAGTTTTTAGCATATCAAATAGTAGAATAGATCTTTACAATGATATAATGAAAAATTTGAATTTTTAGTTTAAATTGTATAAATTTAACTAACATGTCAAGAAATGATATATTTTAGGGGTATAATCAACGACAGAAGTTAAGAGCCATCTTACGTACGGTAAAGAAAATTTTTGGAACTTTGTCAATTTGTGAAGTGATAGATATTCTGGGTAGCTGTCTCTTACCCGCATAAAAATACTATATATCGTTAAAAATATATTATACAATATATCGCAAATAAGTGATGAACATATAGCGTCAAAATTGCCTATATTGAAAAGTATAACTTTATTCTATGTATGGAACCATGTATTTTAAATAATATATTCGTTAATATATGGTGATCCAAAAATCGTTTAGTATATATCATCTGCTATATTACCGAATACATAAAAACTATATATAATATATCATGTACAATATATGAAGAAATATATGTAACACCATATATTTTTCGATACATTATTTTAAGTATAAGGTATCAACCCGATGAAAAAAGATTTTGTCTAATCATATATAATCATGCATAATCGTCTATATATGATCAGATCCAAAAATTGGTCAGGTCTGATCATACATGACTTGATCTGATTATATATGAACAGATATGATTATATATGATCATGTATAATCACTCATGTATAATCAGATCCACAAATTGGCCAGGTCTAATCATACATAACTTGATCTGTTTATATATGAACAGACATGTTTATATATGATCATGTATAATCATACATGATCAGATCCAAAAAATGTCCAGATCTAATCATATCTAACTATATCTCGTGAAAAAATATTCTGATCAGACAATATAAACATTGGAAATATCAGACTTTATCAGAAAGGAACAGTTCTGCGGCAATACGCCATCTATCGAAGACTTTTAATACTAGTTTCGACAGTGCGAAACATGTGATTGTTCCATGGTGATGTCTTTTATTTATAACTAATTAAAATGTTGTCAGATTTATAAATATTTCGTTGATTATTTTAATATTTCCAAAGTTCTCAAATAATTTTAATACTCCATGAATGAATAACTAAAAATTACGTTTCATGATAAATTGATAAATCATACACATAAGATTTTTTCATTTGGCATAAAATTGCATGAAAAAGAATAATAATATCAATTTCATATTGTATTTAAAAAATAAAAAAAAATTTACTTTTTGTAAATTTTAAATCGGATAAAACACGGTAACCGATTGGTTCTACAACAGTAATTTTTTTTTTGTTTTTTAAAAATGTAGAGTAATTTGAAAAATATGTAAAATTTATTTATTTTCATTTAATTGATAAAAAACTAATTTTTTATAATAAAAAATAATATTTATAAATATTAAATAAATAAATATAAAAATAATATTTATAATAAAAAATTCTAAAATATTAATTTCTCAATTAAAAAAAAATTTTGTGAAAAAATTGAGAAGTAAATAATTAATCAAAAAGTTCTAGAGCAACTTTGAAGTTTTTTTTTTAAATTCACACATATTACCTTTTTATAATTTATACCGTAAATTTGCCATTAAATATATTAAATAAAAAAAATTAAAAATGTTGCGTTACAGATGCCATAAGGGCGTATAAAAATCATAAGCTCTTATAACACCCAGAAACCTTAAGGACCTATAATAAAAATTCAATTTTTTTTTTCTAAGTCCAAAAAAAATTTTTCGTTTGACAAATTTTTTTTGCTTTTCTCGATATTTCAGGTAAAAATAAGTTAATTCCCAAAAGGAAAAATTTTTTTATACGCCCTTATAGCTCCCAAGATCCATCTCGGAAGTCATAAGGGCGTATAATAAAAATTCTGTTTTTTTTCTAAGTCCAAAAAAATTTTTAGTTTGAAGAAAAATTTTT